CTTCATAAAAGGCTAAAAAGAGTGAAGGACAATTCTACTTTGACTTGGAGTAATGGTATGATTTAAGCTTTTAAAACTACTTACTGCTCCTAGTAAACACTTTGGAATAATGTAACTTAAAAAAGCAGTTATACAAGCAAATCAAGATAAGCCAACAAAAAGAGATGAAAACATAGGTAAATATTTAGGCACATTCAGTTACATATTTATATAATTCTAAAAATCCTCTGGAAAAAAAAAATTAGGCAGACAAACCTTGACAGGTTGCACACTTTCTACTAGAAGCTTTGGCATACAATATGCCAAAAAGTAATATGAACAGGTAAAGCTTATTAAATAAAAACAAGTATTTTTCCCCATAAAATAAAACCAGTCAAGAAAGGACCAAAAAAAAAAAAAAAAAAAGCAAGCAGCTAGCTGGATCACAAGGAGGTTATTATCTGAAGGTGGATGAAATTTTTTCAGCCCACCCTGAACTGAAGTCTTGATGTGCAAGCTGCTCTGTGCAAGACCTTTGTGGCATCAAACCAGTCAGGTCTTTCGAACGAGAACTCTTTGGGGCCAGTGTTAAAAGCTTGACCTTCAACTGATGTAGGCTGTCTTTGCTCAAAAGGATTTAAATGAAAACATGACAGCTTGCACCAGCTGTAGATCAAGCCCGGTTCCTCTGCACCCTTGCTCTGCGCTCGGTAGGATGAAGACGCAAAGAGACCGGAACCCCTCGGTGTTACCTCACACCTTACTTGACGGTGCCTAGCTTCTTATGGGCAGACCTGAAGAAAATGTTGCACTGAAAAGCTGATCTAACTCTATTTCAACTACCCAGGTGGTCCAGTAACACCACCCTAATCAATCCTTGACTCTCAAACCAAATCCCAACAGAAGGCTTGAATGGACCCCACTGAGAGGCAAGCAGGGGAAGGGGTGGTTTGGGGAGGGGGACACCACCAGTGCTTGGAGCTATCCTTCCCGCTTTTCCTCAGCATGACCTCATTTATGGCCCCATTTCTTCAGCATGGCCCCTTACTCCAAACTCACAGCCCCCATCCCCATCTGCTGATGTTGTGACCCCATTTAGGGTCATGACCCACAGTTTGGGAACTGCTGGCTTAGAGTCAGAGAAGCCTGGCTGGAGGGGACCCCCAGAGTTCACCTAACTCCAACCCCCTGCCTGAGGCAGGATCATCCCTCTCCAAACAACCCCATACACCCACCACCAAAGCCCCACACAAGACCGGACCCAACACCGCACAAACCTAACCCCTCACCGGCTGCAGCTCCGCCCGCTTAGTTGGGAGGCGCAGGCTGCACCAGGAGGGGGTTCGGCGTGGATGCCCGGGACCAGAAGCAGCACTTACCATCTTGATAGCTACCTCCAGGCCAGTTTTGCAGGACACGGCCCTGTAGACGCCAGCGAAAGACCCCTTGCCCAGCAGGTTCCCCACCTGGAAGTCCTGGAGCACAGAAACACTCGCGTCAGGGAAGGATGAGGGACCTGGGGATGGGACAGGATGGGTCCGGCCCGGCCTGGCCCTACCTGGATGGAGCTGTCCCCGGCCCGGCCACGGGCGCTGCCGGGGGTACTCCGCCGCCGCCGGGGCATCTTCCACGAAGCGCAGCGGCACCGGCCCGGCCCAAGGGGAC